TTTAACCCGCAGCACAGAAGAATGGGAAGATTAAAACAGCAGTTCTCTGTGCGCAAAGGTGCCGGAGCTGTTGCGGGTTTGGGCGCCGCTGTCTCGGCTCTGATCCAGTAGAACGCAGAGCTGCACTTATGAAAAGTACGCGGCTCGAAATGGCTGTTATTTCAAAGAACGTGGACTATTTTAAACTACGCGGTTAACCGGTTTCAACCGGTTAATGAGGCTCGGTGGTCGGTCATGAAAATTCATAGTTTTTTACATCCCTACTTCTAGGGTCTTGATGTGAAGGCGGGGGACGCGCCTGGTGATGGGGACGCTCCCGGAGAGAAGAGGCTGAAGACGTGCGGGTTCGTCACGACAGACGACCAGGAGTTTGAACGACACAAACCTCAACACAAACTGCAACAGAGCACGCCGCAGTGTGGGCTCTGCGGCCTGTGCTTCACCTCCGCTCTGGCTCTGAACCGACACCGCCACATGGTCCACAAGGTCAGAGCGCCACAAGCATCTCACCACTGAACCGACACCGCCACATGGTCCACAAGGTCAGAGCGCCACAAGCATCTCACCACTGAACCGACACCGCCACATGGTCCACAAGGTCAGAGCGCCACAAGCATCTCACCACTGAACCGACACCGCCACATGGTCCACAAGGTCAGAGCGCCACAAGCATCTCACCACTGAACCGACACCGCCACATGGTCCACAAGGTCAGAGCGCCACAAGCATCTCACCACTGAACTGTCACCGCCACATGGTCCACAAGGTCAGAGCGCCACAAGCATCTCACCACTGAACTGTCACCGCCACATGGTCCACAAGGTCAGAGCGCCACAAGCATCTCACCACTGAACTGTCACCGCCACATGGTCCACAAGGTCAGAGCGCCACAAGCATCTCACCACTGAACCGACACCGCCACATGGTCCACAAGGTCAGAGCGCCACAAGCATCTCACCACTGAACCGACACCGCCACATGGTCCACAAGGTCAGAGCGCCACAAGCATCTCACCACTGAACCGACACCGCCACATGGTCCACAAGGTCAGAGCGCCACAAGCATCTCACCACTGAACTGTCACCGCCACATGGTCCACAAGGTCAGAGCGCCACAAGCATCTCACCACTGAACTGTCACCGCCACATGGTCCACAAGGTCAGAGCGCCACAAGCATCTCACCACTGAACCGACACCGCCACATGGTCCACAAGGTCAGAGCGCCACAAGCATCTCACCACTGAACTGTCACCGCCACATGGTCCACAAGGTCAGAGCGCCACAAGCATCTCACCACTGAACCGACACCGCCACATGGTCCACAAGGTCAGAGCGCCACAAGCATCTCACACTCACACTGAACCGTCACCGCCACATGGTCCACAAGGTCAGAGCGCCACAAGCATCTCAACACTGAACTGTCACCGCCACATGGTCCACAAGGTCAGAGCGCCACAAGCATCTCACCACTGAACTGTCACCGCCACATGGTCCACAAGGTCAGAGCGCCACAAGCATCTCACCACTGAACCGACACCGCCACATGGTCCACAAGGTCAGAGCGCCACAAGCATCTCACCACTGAACCGACACCGCCACATGGTCCACAAGGTCAGAGCGCCACAAGCATCTCACCACTGAACCGACACCGCCACATGGTCCACAAGGTCAGAGCGCCACAAGCATCTCACCACTGAACCGACACCGCCACATGGTCCACAAGGTCAGAGCGCCACAAGCATCTCACCACTGAACCGACACCGCCACATGGTCCACAAGGTCAGAGCGCCACAAGCATCTCAACACTGAACTGTCACCGCCACATGGTCCACAAGGTCAGAGCGCCACAAGCATCTCACCACTGAACTGTCACCGCCACATGGTCCACAAGGTCAGAGCGCCACAAGCATCTCACCACTGAACCGACACCGCCACATGGTCCACAAGGTCAGAGCGCCACAAGCATCTCACCACTGAACCGACACCGCCACATGGTCCACAAGGTCAGAGCGCCACAAGCATCTCACCACTGAACCGACACCGCCACATGGTCCACAAGGTCAGAGCGCCACAAGCATCTCACCACTGAACCGACACCGCCACATGGTCCACAAGGTCAGAGCGCCACAAGCATCTCACCACTGAACCGACACCGCCACATGGTCCACAAGGTCAGAGCGCCACAAGCATCTCACCACTGAACCGACACCGCCACATGGTCCACAAGGTCAGAGCGCCACAAGCATCTCACCACTGAACTGTCACCGCCACATGGTCCACAAGGTCAGAGCGCCACAAGCATCTCACCACTGAACTGTCACCGCCACATGGTCCACAAGGTCAGAGCGCCACAAGCATCTCACCACTGAACCGACACCGCCACATGGTCCACAAGGTCAGAGCGCCACAAGCATCTCACCACTGAACTGTCACCGCCACATGGTCCACAAGGTCAGAGCGCCACAAGCATCTCACCACTGAACCGACACCGCCACATGGTCCACAAGGTCAGAGCGCCACAAGCATCTCACCACTGAACCGACACCGCCACATGGTCCACAAGGTCAGAGCGCCACAAGCATCCTCACCACTGAACCGTCACCGCCACATGGTCCACAAGGTCAGAGCGCCACAAGCATCTCACCACTGAACTGTCACCGCCACATGGTCCACAAGGTCAGAGCGCCACAAGCATCTCACCACTGAACTGTCACCGCCACATGGTCCACAAGGTCAGAGCGCCACAAGCATCTCACCACTGAACCGACACCGCCACATGGTCCACAAGGTCAGAGCGCCACAAGCATCTCACCACTGAACCGACACCGCCACATGGTCCACAAGGTCAGAGCGCCACAAGCATCTCACCACTGAACCGACACCGCCACATGGTCCACAAGGTCAGAGCGCCACAAGCATCTCACCACTGAACCGACACCATCAGAGTCAGACAACACAACTTTACTCTGCTTTTTGTGTTGTTGTTACGGTACTTTCTGGACCATGTGGCGTTCACAAGCGGCACCAGAAACAGTTCAAGAAAAAGTTAATTTTGTCCACATATAAGCCGCAGGTGTGTTGTATTGTAGCAGATTCACTTGTTTGCCGTTTGCAGTAAACCCACATTGTAATACATTTTTAAAAGTCTCCAGTCTGCACAAGACGAGTACAGACATAAAACAACATTAAAAGTGCAGAAGTAAAACAAATAAAACAGTAAACATTGTCAGTGTGAAATCGATCGACTAAAACAGTTTCAATACAAAGGCAAGAACATTAAAGTGCTCTGTTCAGACTGATAACAGCCTGTGGGAAGAAGCTGTTAGCATGTTAGCGTAACGAGATGTCCTGCATCTCAGAGAACGATATCTTTTTTTTCCTTTTGCCAGAAGGAAGAAGCTGGAACATGGCTTTTCCAGGGTGGCCAGAAGAGTCATTGATTATTCTAAGTGCTCGGTTTAAAAGTCTGGATTTATAAAAATATGAATTGGTCCATAGGGAGAGACCAATGTCCATGAATGTTGATAAATGTCATACATGTGATAAATGTCACACATGTTGTAGAATGTTAAAGTGTCCTGGATCATCACAGTCCTTCTAGTGGGAAAAAGTGAGAAACCTCGGGGAGACCCATGGTTTGAGAAAGGGATCCGCTCCCACGGACGGACAGGCTCTAGATCCAGGACCTAAGCTACAGGACGAAGACCAATGCCACGCAGCGGCCGCAGAGCGTGGACAGGTCCGGTCTGAAGCGGATCACAGCGTTATGACACCAGCGTTTAGACACCAGCGTTTAGACACCAGCGTTTAGACACCAGCGTTTAGACACCAGCGTTTAGACACCAGCGGATCACGGCGTTTAGACACCAGCGGATCACGGCGTTTAGACACCAGCGGATCACGGCGTTTAGACACCAGCGGATCACGGCGTTTAGACACCAGTGGATCACGGCGTTTAGACACCAGCGGATCACGCCGTTTAGACACCAGCGGATCACGGCGTTTAGACACCAGTGGATCACGGCGTTTAGACACCAGCGTTTAGACACCAGTGGATCACGGCGTTTAGACACCAGCGTTTAGACACCAGTGGATCACGGCGTTTAGACACCAGTGGATCACGGCGTTCAGACACCAGTGGATCACGGCGTTTAGACACCAGTGGATCACGCCGTTTAGACACCAGTGTGGATCACGGCGTTTAGACACCAGTGGATCACGGCGTTTAGACACCAGTGGATCACGGCGTTTACACCAGCGGATCACGGCGTTTAGACACCAGTGGATCACGGCGTTTAGACACCAGTGGATCACGGCGTTTAGACACCAGCGGATCACGCCGTTTAGACACCAGCGGATCACGGCGTTTAGACACCAGTGGATCACGGCGTTTAGACACCAGCGGATCACGGCGTTTAGACACCAGCGGATCACGGCGTTTAGACACCAGTGGATCACGGCGTTTAGACACCAGTGGATCACGGCGTTTAGACACCAGCGGATCACGCCGTTTAGACACCAGCGGATCACGGCGTTTAGACACCAGCGGATCACGGCGTTTAGACACCAGTGGATCACGGCGTTTAGACACCAGCGGATCACGGCGTTTAGACACCAGCGGATCACGGCGTTTAGACACCAGTGGATCACGGCGTTTAGACACCAGCGGATCACGGCGTTTAGACACCAGCGGATCACGGCGTTTAGACACCAGTGGATCACGGCGTTTAGACACCAGCGGATCACGGCGTTTAGACACCAGCGGATCACGGCGTTTAGACACCAGCGGATCACGGCGTTTAGACACCAGTGGATCACGGCGTTTAGACACCAGTGGATCACGGCGTTTAGACACCAGCGGATCACGGCGTTTAGACACCAGTGGATCACGGCGTTTAGACACCAGTGGATCACGGCGTTTAGACACCAGCGGATCACGGCGTTTAGACACCAGCGGATCACGGCGTTTAGACACCAGTGGATCACGGCGTTTAGACAGCAGTGGATCACGGCGTTTAGACAGCAGTGGATCACGGCGTTTAGACACCAGTGGATCACGGCGTTTAGACACCAGCAGTAATAAGGGCTCAGGGGTTGTGCACAGAGAGGACTTCAAAGACACAGTTGCATTTCCTCATCAGTCGTTAGCGTTGATTGCCTTCATGTGTCACTCAAACAGCTCTGATCATCTTTCTTATGGCGTCGTAGATCATTGGTTTAGCTTTTATCGTTCCATGTTTGTTTCCAACAGTATTTCTGATTTCTCTGAATGGTTGCAGAGGTTTTGGTGAAACTGTGTGAACTGAAAGAATAACGAGCTCTACCTCTTTTTGAAGGGCCTTAAAATGTTGAAGAAAACAATGTCTAATTTCCCATTTTAAATTTAATAAATTGCTTTGGGAATAATATTATTGTGTGTGGTCATATTGACCTCAGTTAATTGTATTAATCACTTTATTGATTATTGATCAGACACTTTTTGATTCTATGAAACATGTATATTTGTAAATGTATAAATATATAAACAGCAAATCTGTGTGTGTGTGTGCGGTGTGTGTGTGTGTAACAGCAGCATGTGCCCTACAATAAATAATGATAACAATAGTTTTCAGTTTCTTATTTTCATCTCTTACACGCACACACACTCTCACATGCACACACACACACACACTCTCTCAGACACACACTCACTCTCTCAGACACAGTCTCAGACACACACACACACACACACACACACACAGTCTCAGACACAGTGATGTGATCGATGTGTCTTCAAACAGCAGTTGATTGTAACGCCGAGTTGTGTTGAGGTCATTTTGGCGTCACACACACTCTCACATGCACACACACACACACACACTCTCTCAGACACAGTCTCACACACACTCATCGTCCACGGCGTCCGCCCTGAGCCAATGAGACGCTTCTCTGACCTCCAATAAAAGCAGAGCTTCCTGTGGATCTGCAGACCCCGAGGAGCCACACCTTCATCCAGCAGCACATCCACCAGAGCTCAGAGGAATGAAAGGCGCTGTGTCCGGCTTCCTCTACTCCATCATTCTCTTCTCTTTGATCCCAATCACTTCTTCCATGTCGCTCGATTTAACCGAGCTGAGGAATAAAGTATCAAACATCAAAGTCAATCCACGCGGGAACCTGTGGGCGACAGGTAAGCCAACAAAACATCTACAGTTGTGTTTGTTTTACCAGTGTTTTTATTTTGTGCTAGGGCATTTCATGGGGAAGAAAAGTGTGGTAGACAGTTCCTCTGTGGAGGCTCTCAGCTCCAGGCACGACACCAACCACATGTCCACAGTGCTGCTGCAGCTGCATCAGCTGCAGCAGCTGATGAGCGACCCCAAACGCTCTCTTCAAACGTCAGTGTCCCAGGTTAAAAACAAAAACTCATCAGCCATGTAACTAATACTAATGTTTCTGTAGCAGAGGGAACCCAGCTTGACCACAGTGTCCACTTTGATGACTCTTCCAACGGCTCTAGTAGTTTGTGTGAACCTGGGATGCAGCTGCTGACCTGTCTGTCTCCTTTCAATAAATGACTGCTACAAAACAAATACGTTTATTATTATGATTCTAATTATTGTTGGTGGAATGGTTGTTGTGGCCGATGGGGAATGTTTTAACCTTGATGGCTGCGATTGGAAGAAAAAACAATAATATTTAGTTTTTTGGCTTTTTAAAAAACTTGTCATACCTGCATGTGAAAGCTTAATCCAAGCATATCTTGGAAACTCAGCAGGGCAGGGCCTGGTTAAACTGTGATGAGAGACCTTTGAGAAGACCAAAACAGTACATTATTTGTTTCTTAAAGGCGACACAGACACAGCTATTTATTTAATTATTTTATTTATTTGATATGGACACAACAGTTACAGCGGACAGACCAGATGCACTGCCTTTTGTGTTATAGCAAGACCAGGCTAATGTTCAACACTTGTCCATGGAGGCATTGCAAAGATTAGTAGCATCACTTTTGTACACCTGCCCCGAGGCATTTGTGGCTACAGTTGTATCCTCTACGACGTGGTTCAATAATGTGGTACCACCTACACCTGAAAGACAGATCCCGTCAGACCTCTAAGGCTAAGCAGGGCAGTGCCTGGTTAAAACTGTGATGGAAGACCTTTGTAAAGTGCCAAACTGTTTGTGTGTCCTTAGGCAAGACACTTCACTCACCTTGTCCGAAAGGTGTGTGTGTGTGTGTGAGAGAGAGTGTGACATACCGGCCGCTGTCAGTGTGCCCCAGGTCAGCTGTGGCCACAATAATAGTTTATCACCAGTGTGTGTACTGCATAAATATCGCATGTAACGCCTCTTTGTACGTACAGAAAGCATTATGTATGAAACAGACTCATTATGATTATTAAAACTACTATAATCATTATTTATAGCTTCGCGCTCTTGTTGTAGTTCCCCGTCCCAACAGCAGAGGGCGGCCGTGCTCTTGTTGTAGTTCCCCGTCCCAACAGCAGAGGGCGGCCGTGCTCTTGTTGTAGTTCCCCGTCCCAACAGCAGAGGGCGGCCGTGGTCTTGGTAAATGTCCTTGTATCCGGTTCGTGCTCGAGTGCAGCAGCATGAGGCTAATGTTTTGGTTCTGGTCCTGACTGTAAACTCTGTCCGGGACCATGCCTCTGGTTATTATGTGTGGATTTCCGTGCAGTGGGAAAACCAAGAGGACAGAGCAGCTCAGACTTTATCTGGAGCAGAACACAGAGAAGAAGATCCGTGTTGTTGGAGACGCTGCTCTGGGGCTGGACAGAAACACAGTCTACGCAGGCACGTGCTCAACTCATACATATATATATATATATATATATATATATATGTATATATATATATATATATATATATATATACTACTGTACACAGGGACACATACTACTGTACACAGGGACACATACTACTGTACACAGGGACATATACTACTGTACACAGGGACATATACTACTGTACACAGGGACATATACTACTGTACACAGGGACACATACTACTGTACACAGGGACATATACTACTGTACACAGGGACATATACTACTGTACACAGGGACATATACTACTGTACACAGGGACATATACTACTGTACACAGGGACACATACTACTGTACACAGGGACACATACTACTGTACACAGGGACACATACTACTGTACACAGGGACACATACTACTGTACACAGGGACATATACTACTGTACACAGGGACATATACTACTGTACACAGGGACACATACTACTGTACACAGGGACACATACTACTGTACACAGGGACACATACTACTGTACACAGGGACATATACTACTGTACACAGGGACATATACTACTGTACACAGGGACATATACTACTGTACACAGGGACATATACTACTGTACACAGGGACACATACTACTGTACACAGGGACACATACTACTGTACACAGGGACACATACTACTGTACACAGGGACACATACTACTGTACACAGGGACACATACTACTGTACACAGGGACACATACTACTGTACACAGGGACATATACTACTGTACACAGGGACATATACTACTGTACACAGGGACATATACTACTGTACACAGGGACATATACTACTGTACACAGGGACACATACTACTGTACACAGGGACATATACTACTGTACACAGGGACATATACTACTGTACACAGGGACACATACTACTGTACACAGGGACATATACTACTGTACACAGGGACACATACTACTGTACACAGGGACATATACTACTGTACACAGGGACACATACTACTGTACACAGGGACATATACTACTGTACACAGGGACACATACTACTGTACACAGGGACACATACTACTGTACACAGGGACACATACTACTGTACACAGGGACACATACTACTGTACACAGGGACATATACTACTGTACACAGGGACATATACTACTGTACACAGGGACACATACTACTGTACACAGGGACATATACTACTGTACCCAGGGACACATACTACTGTACACAGGGACACATACTACTGTACACAGGGACATATACTACTGTACACAGGGACAGGACATACTACTGTACACAGGGACATATACTACTGTACACAGGGACACATACTACTGTACACAGGGACACATACTACTGTACACAGGGACAATACTACTGTACACAGGGACAATACTACTGTACACAGGGACACATACTACTGTACACAGGGACACATACTACTGTACACAGGGACAATACTACTGTACACAGGGACATATACTACTGTACACAGGGACATATACTACTGTACACAGGGACACATACTACTGTACACAGGGACACATACTACTGTACACAGGGACATATACTACTGTACACAGGGACATATACTACTGTACACAGGGACATATACTACTGTACACAGGGACATATACTACTGTACACAGGGACATATACTACTGTACACAGGGACACATACTACTGTACACAGGGACACATACTACTGTACACAGGGACACATACTACTGTACACAGGGACACATACTACTGTACACAGGGACACATACTGTACACAGGGACACATACACTCACAGGGACACATACTACTGTACACAGGGACATATACTACTGTACACAGGGACATATACTACTGTACACAGGGACATATACTACTGTACACAGGGACATATACTACTGTACACAGGGACACATACTACTGTACACAGGGACATATACTACTGTACACAGGGACACATACTACTGTACACAGGGACACATACTACTGTACACAGGGACATATACTACTGTACACAGGGACACATACTACTGTACACAGGGACATATACTACTGTACACAGGGACACATACTACTGTACACAGGGACACATACTACTGTACACAGGGACACATACTACTGTACACAGGGACACATACTACTGTACACAGGGACACATACTACTGTACACAGGGACACATACTACTGTACACAGGGACATATACTACTGTACACAGGGACATATACTACTGTACACAGGGACACATACTACTGTACACAGGGACACATACTACTGTACACAGGGACACATACTACTGTACACAGGGACACATACTACTGTACACAGGGACATATACTACTGTACACAGGGACACATACTACTGTACACAGGGACATATACTACTGTACACAGGGACACATACTACTGTACACAGGGACACATACTACTGTACACAGGGACACATACTACTGTACACAGGGACATATACTACTGTACACAGGGACACATACTACTGTACACAGGGACATATACTACTGTACACAGGGACATATACTACTGTACACAGGGACACATACTACTGTACACAGGGACACATACTACTGTACACAGGGACACATACTACTGTACACAGGGACACATACTACTGTACACAGGGACACATACTACTGTACACAGGGACATATACTACTGTACACAGGGACATATACTACTGTACACAGGGACATATACTACTGTACACAGGGACACATACTACTGTACACAGGGACACATACTACTGTACACAGGGACATATACTACTGTACACAGGGACATATACTACTGTACACAGGGACATATACTACTGTACACAGGGACATATACTACTGTACACAGGGAATATACTACTGTACACAGGGACATATACTACTGTACACAGGGACATATACTACTGTACACAGGGACATATACTACTGTACACAGGGACACATACTACTGTACACAGGGACATATACTACTGTACACAGGGACATATACTACTGTACACAGGGACATATACTACTGTACACAGGGACACATACTACTGTACACAGGGACACATACTACTGTACACAGGGACACATACTACTGTACACAGGGACATATACTACTGTACACAGGGACATATACTACTGTACACAGGGACATATACTACTGTACACAGGGACACATACTACTGTACACAGGGACATATACTACTGTACACAGGGACACATACTACTGTACACAGGGACACATACTACTGTACACAGGGACACATACTACTGTACACAGGGACACATACTACTGTACACAGGGACACATACTACTGTACACAGGGACACATACTACTGTACACAGGGACATATACTACTGTACACAGGGACACATACTACTGTACACAGGGACATATACTACTGTACACAGGGACATATACTACTGTACACAGGGACATATACTACTGTACACAGGGACACATACTACTGTACACAGGGACACATACTACTGTACACAGGGACACATACTACTGTACAAAGAAGCTCCTACCCCATTCTTTAAAAAAAAAAAACATTACAAATTAGATGGCCACACCGATGCCAAAAGATAACAATAGCCCAGACCAGATGTAATCAACTTTCAATTTTAACAAGTTTCTTTCTTTTTTCCCCGATTATTATTAATAATTTTGCTAAAACAACAGTGATGCAATGGTGACAACAAATTATTCATATCTATATTTCCTCCTCTCTTGCAGATTCCCAAAAGGAGAAGGAGGTCAGAGGAGCGCTTAAAGCTGAAGTAGAGAGGTTAGTGCTGGTTGAACCGTCAAACCAACACCCGTCACCATTTCTCTTTTTTCTTTACTTTTGATTCTAGGAAAATCAACAAAGATGACATTGTTATTTTTGATTCACTGAACTATATCAAAGGTAACAGCCTCCAAGTATGTCGTTCATTCCCGTTTGGACAGATCTAACACCTCTTGTGTCTGCAGGATATAGGTACGAGTTATTCTGCCTCATCAAACACACTCAGACTCCACACTGTCTTGTAAGTATCGCGTGACATTATTATATCTGCCGTTACGTTAGAAATCAGCTGCCAACTTGCTACTAAAGGTTTACTGCTTGACGTCACCTGAAGTCAGCTCCGCGTGGAACCTCCAGAGGGACGTCACGGAGCAGTATAGCCCAGATATGTAAGGTAACCGTTCTCAATGTGCAGAGGCTTCCCAGGCTTAGTCCGTGAATGTGGTTTTGGTCCTTCTGGTCTGTAGCTTGGACGCGTTGGTGCTGAGGTTTGAAGATCCCGACTCCAGGAATCGCTGGGACAGTCCTCTCTTCACGGTGCAGCCGGACGAGCCGCTTCCCTTCGAGGCCATTTCTGATGCACTTCTGAAACGAAAAGCTCCACCACGGAACCAGTCCACCCAAAGTGTACGGAACATGCCATTCTCTCCGCCGCCTTTCTGGGCCTGAATCTCTGAACTCTGAACATTGTAAAGCGCTTTGTGTGACCTTGGTCTGTAAAATGCGCTATATATATAACATTACTTACATTACTTACTTACTGAATCGAAGTTGAATGAGTTTTATTTTATTTTCAGCAACCTCTGTCGTCGACGAACTTCCTGTATGAGCTGGACCGAGTCACGCAGGACGTCCTAACGGTTTGTTTTCACTGTATATTCTCTTTGTTTTTATTTGTTTGGTGGAAAAGCCTTGATTGATGACATATTTTGTGGCCATACTTGTGAAAGTCTGATCCAGTCAGACCTCTGAAGCTGTGCAGGGCAGGGCCGGGTTAGTACTGTGATGGGAGACCTGTGGGAACACCAGGTGCCAAAATGGGGCGGCCGTGGTGTTCACTTAAGGACAAATTGTTGTTGTTCTTAAGTGAAAGAACAATAACATGTAAAGCGTCTTTGAGTGTCCAGAAAAGAGCAATACACATATTTATATTTTTAAAAAACTCAAACACAATGCATATATTTCTAGGGGCTTATTTCCAGGGCTCCTCAGATGACAGATACAGTAACGCACACAGCCAGGCAGCTAGACCAGAATGAGTATTAATGAATGTCATGTTTGGAGATCATAGATGGCTAAATCCATTTTGGGTTCATAACCGGTCCTTTACGGATCCTGGAAGTATTGTACAAGAGCAAGTTTAAGCTGATTATCTACACATTCAGCTGCCATCTTGTTCTTGTTGTTGTGCGTCATTCCACCTGCAGCATTGATGTTTCTGACTTTCTAAATCTCTATAATTATAAGTTTAAACAGTGTTGTCGTCGTGGGTGGATTCAGCCTCTCCTGATTGGCTATTCAGTGGATCCGAGTGTGATCGATTGGTTCACCATATGTTTTCGCCCAGGTGATCTTCAATGCACAAAAGACCAGTGTTTCCGGTGATTGCATAACAATTCCTGGAGCAACTGAGAAAATATCCTTTTGTGTTTGCCCCTTTTTGATTTGCATGTTGTGTTTTTAAATTAACGACAACAAAACAGACCAACGTTCAACGAGAGCACAAAACACAAAAGTACAATCCCAAACAGAATAAACATGACAAAAAACACCAATAATAAAATATAATTCACTTATTACAGAGCGTACATGAAATTCAGCAAAACATACACACTCAGTTCTTATTTATCACTTCCTTCTACACACACACACACACACACACACACACACACACACACACACACACACACACACACACACACACACACACACACACACACACACACACACACACACACACACACACACACACACACACACACACACACACACACACACACACACACACACGTTTACAGGCTGTCTAACTGTTCGTGCTACTGTGTGTATGTCAAGATGTATTCGTGCACATGTTGTGGCTAAATTGAGCTTCTAGTCTCAGAGCGATCGATGTCCGGTGTTTTGTGGTGGAACCTTTTTGCTTTTAGTATCTCCAAAAGGCAGATGCCAAGACCTTCAGTAGCACGTCCTAGTCTACCTCGTGCTCCTTTCCCGCAAGTAAATAAATAAATAAAGATTTTCAGTGCGGTTGGAATCTTAAAAACCAATTTGAGACATGAGTAAAGCCACAGAGGACTTTCCATCAAAGCAAAGCAATGAAAGGAGCGGTTCAAACCCTTTTAAAGCAAAAGCTAATTGGATTTTTGAACTTTATGCCACGTGTTGTTGACGTTTCCATCATGACGTCGTGGGTCCAGCTCAAACTAGCATTTTTAATATTAGCACAACAGCAGATTCTTTGACAAAGCGTTAAAGAAAAGAATCAAATACCGTCCACAACCATCACCAGTTTGGGGTCGAGGCTAAGATTTGCCACATTATTTCAACTGGGATGAGTTTATTGACAATAATTGAAGGAGAAATCCAATTTTTAGGTAATTTCAAAGATACAAATTTGAATAGAGGTTTATTTTATTTCAAAAACCACATCAGAATTGTGACTTCTGTGAAATGACCAGAATAGACCCGGTTAAAACAAGAACTAACATCTACTGTACATAATGAACGCGTCAGTAAGTATCTGCGCTGTTGAAAGCCAGTCCCCGGCAGACAGTACAGGGCCTGGTTAGTGCTGTGATGGGAGACCTCCTGAAACGGCAGGTGCCACAGTGGGGCGGCTGCGGCTGTGCTCTTAGGCAAGACACTTCACTCGCATTAGAATGAGTCTGGTGTGTGAGAGTGGTTGGTGGTGGTTAGACTGGCACAGACTGGCTGCCTCACTTCTGTCACTGTGCCTTAGGGCAGCTGTGTGTGAAAGAATGACATGTTCATTTGTGTAACTATGCTCAAGATACAAGTGTCAGGAATGAAGCAGACAGAGACGGATCGTGGTGCGCCAAACTCTGGAAGTTTATTTAAGTTTCTCTCAAGTTCCAGTGGTTTCCATTGTTTCTTTCTCTCAGACAGAATAAAGACAGTTTATATAGTCATTGTCACGTCACACATGGAAAGACGTGTCACACAGAGACAGTCACATCAGAAGAGTCCTGCACGTAGGCCATATTGCTATCTAATCCTAACACAATCATTCACAGAAAATTATAATGGTTTGAAACACTATTGGTCGAAGCAAAAAGCTCATTTGAATCCAATCCCATCCGTTCAGACACGTGCCACTATGGAATCAAAACCTTACAACACCCATCACCAAAACACACACACGCTCTTTAAACACCAACGGCAAGAGACAGAAAGACGCACGTGCGAAGTGTATTTGACTGTCCATAAAACCAATGTGTTTTTATGACATTGCTCCTTAACATTGAAACTTAGAAGTGTCCAGAAACATCAACATGGCGGAGCTGCGGAAACTGCGACGTCAGTTCATCAGCTACAGCAAGAGTCACCCCACGGAGGACTGCGGCCAAATCACCAACATGTTTGTGCAGTATTTAAACAAGAGCCTGGTTTAAGCTTTTATGATTATGTCTTATTAATAAATGGATTTTATTTCACTGTTTGGTTGCATTTGCTTTATTCAGATTAGTGGTCCACTTCACAGAACAGGCATTAGTCCAGAGATCTCCTTTTGACCTCGGGGCAATAACGGCTTTTCTGTCTCAAGCTGATTAGTTTCATGTGGAATTTGAACACAAAGAAAAAAGTCTGAAGTCGTGAGATGTTACATAAGAGTGAGCCGGACGATAGAACATGAGCACGAGAAGTGACGTGTCCAGACCTGAAGCGGCCATTTAGAAACAAATGTACTTTTATATCTAATTAGTAATAAAACAATCTACTTTCTACTCCGACTTCAGGTGATTGACTTCTTAATTTTAAAATGGTCACTTATAGCACAGAATAAAAACAGGTTTGTAGTTGAAGTGAATTCACCTGTCGAGGTTAGCCGCGCTTCTAACTTCAGAGAAATCACTCTGCTCTACATATGTTTGTTTTCTCAGTCAGTATGAAACATTTCTCCTGTAATGCAACATTGTAATGTGAGTGTTCAAAGCCAGTTTTTGACAATAATTTACCGTATATTCTCAGTTAAATATAGTCAATTATTAAAAAATGTTTACAATGTTTGAAAGTGAGAGAATGATTGATACTTTCCCAGAGTAGATTGTTTTGTACATTCTCTTGAGTCCAGGCCGACCTCAGACCAGTACTTCTGCACCTCTGGCCTAGATAGATCTTATGTAATTGTTTTGTAACTGCAGATAAACTCAGACACACACACTACGGTGAAGCATATGTACAGATATACACACAACTACACACTTCTTGCCCTAGGACATAGGTGTCAAAGTCAAGGCCCGGGGGCCAGATCCGGCCCGCGAGACCATTTCCAGTGGCCCTTGTGATGATTTGAAATAATTATATTAAATAGCAGCATAAATGGCATCTCATCCATTACTAAGAAAACAACCATAAAATTTACTTCCATAAGAAATAAACAATTTTCCAATTTTCTAAGGAAAGAACTGCCCTGTCCACTTTTTGAACAAAACCGTATTTGAGGATCACAAACCACCAGAATGACCACTGGGAGGAGCCATAATCTTAATGATCCACCCAAAAGTATAAAATCTTCCTATATACCTTCAATATTTGGTCCAGTTCTGGTTCAGTCCAAAGTAACTGAACTAATTCTAATCAGAAAAGAATGTCCAATCTAACTAATGTGAAACAAGTCATTTATATAGATACTTTCATATTCCAAAAAATATTAATAAATGAAACCCCTCTTATTGTTTCGGCCCCTGACTAGCCCTTTCTTTTTTTATTCGGCCCTAAATCAAAATAAGTTTGACACCCCTGCCCTAGGACATACAGTACAATATTATATACTTGCTTCTATATCACGCTAAAGTTTTCTATCTCAGTATCGTTATAGAATTGGGGCGAGAGTCTACAAGTTTCTACTTCTTTCCCACTCCATTTTGAGCTGACAAATTGTGAGTAGAAATGCATTTGTGATACATATGGAAATGTTAATGATACTTACCAAACCAACCAAATAAACACTTGAATTGTATTTTTTTTGTTGCATGTTTAAGTATATAATGTAAGCACAAGGTCATGTAAACTAAGGAATGTAAAATTGTTCACTTATCTGGTAACTGTTCTGTAACTGATGATGCAACACTGAAATTTCCCCACAGTGGGACGAATCAAGGATCAGCCAATATTCACTCATTGACTGCTGCCGTTTTTGATGATTTCACTGATTCTCAAGACCCACAGAATATTATGGGCTATGACTGTGTGAAATATGAAACCAGATTCTGAAAGTCTGGACTGTCTACTTTCATCAGCAAAAATAAGTTTGTTTCTAGCTGTTTTTGTTGTCCTGTAATCCCCGGTGGAACAGAGGGAAGTTTGACAGAAAGCACCAGTTTCAGAAAAATGCGTAAATGGCAGTGAATGAGTTAAGAGTCTAAGTTTAGAGGTATTTTATGGAGAAAAAAAAGTTTGACTACAACAATATAACTTGAATAGAATTTTTGCCACTGCTTTCTTTGCATTCCCAGTTTTATTCTCTGGAAAGTCTTATTTATACGTCCTCTTCAGGGACACGGCCGTTCCAAAGATTTTGTCCCAGTGGCTGAAGAACGGAGCGTAGTTACTGTTGGGTTTTTGGTGGTGCATGTCGTGGGCAGGAGCGCCTCCGAGAAGCCCGTACGGCACCAGGTGATTGAGCGTCCAGGGCATGTCGTACCCGATGTGATCCTCCACCGACATCCAGATGCTAAAAACCGTCACGCACCAAATGGTGAGGGGGTGGCAGCGCAGGAGGATGGGGTCCAGGTTGCTCCAGAGGCCCACGGTCATCAGCTCGGGGATGCTGAGCTGCTCCGTGGCCCAGGAGAAGGGAGAAATGTACTCGTGGTGAATGGCGTGGATCCATTTGTAAAGCTGCGGGATCTTGTGATGGATGAAATGCCAAAGATAATATTGAGTGTCGAAGAGAAGAAGAGAGGCAAGTCCATCCACCAAGAACTCATACACGGTTGGCGCTTCTTGAGGCAGTGTGGGAGATGGCAAAATAAAAGTCCCCAAAATCACCGCAGGCAAAACAAAAAACATGTGATTGTACACCGCTATCGTAAAACTCTTCATCATCATTTTCGAGGTAGGCTTCCGGTCTTGTTGGATCTTGTACTGGTAGAAAAACGGCACCCTGTCCCCCAAGACGTCCATGACTGCGAATGGGACGCTGAAGAAGACATAGCTGGAGAAGGCTACGACGACAGGGAAGAAGGGAGAGGTGATGAACGGACGGTGGTGGAGCAGGAGGTGGTCCCAGAGCGGCTGCAGCAGACGCCCAGAGGGTCTGCAGGGCCACAGGCTGCTGCTGATCATGCTGCACCAAGTCAGACTCCGGAGCAAACACTTATGCACAGGGAGATTTGTGTCCGGTCCAGTCCCATTACAGCAAAGAAAGAAGATTAAGCAAAACGAGGGGCAGAAACATGTACCTTGGACTAGGAAGGATAATGCTCCCATAAAAGCTACAGGCCAGCCAGAGAAAGGCAGCAATAAAAGCAACACAAAACAACAGCTTAAGGGAGAAACTTCTCAACGTTTATTGTTCATAAATAGTTGAAATTGTTTGTTTTGTGAAGATGATTTCATTTAAATGCTTTCACTTGTGAGTGGGGACATCATTTTAGAAGCAACTATGTATGAAGTGATGGTATCCGTATCAAAATGTATTATACGTCATGGTAACGGAAAAGCAAATTAGTTCATTTTAATGGAGAAAGTTCACCCGGTTAAAACTTAAATGATTGTTGTTGTATCTTTGCGTCACAACAGTGTAAAATTCGTCTTCAAAACAAATTATTTTTCACTTGCTGCTTTCCGGGAAATTGTCTTATTGGTGTTTGCATATTTTTGACGATCGTTTCTAAAAACAAAACAAAAAAATTCCGTAAATACATTTTTGTTTCATTCCAGAACATGCTCTTTAAAGCGGCGTTTACCTGCACATTCTGACTTTACTGCGGCAGCCCTGGCCTCCCTCCCAGTGACAGCTGCGAGCCGCTCGGGTCATCATGCCGCCGCAGCTCACACACGGCTTTCCGTTCCCATAGCTCTGTGAAACAACCACATGGGTGTCAAAGTAACTCTGTGAAACAACCACATGGGTGTCAAAGTAACTCTGTGAAACAACCACATGGGTGTCAAAGTAAAGGACGGGTGTCAGATCAATTGCTGCCTCTTTGCCCCCAGGATGATATCTGATTAGTATTAGAACCGGCCCACGCAGAGCCATGCAAAAATATTGGAATATTCATGTGATCATTAAAGAGCGACTAAACACCTGTGCCCAGCCTGACTCCGCCCACAGGAACATTTGAAAATGTTCTCTTAAAAGGGCGTTACCCGAGGACCAAGGGACAAGAAGGGGGGCTTAGAGGTGGGCGTGGTCTGGGCTGTGATTGACAGCTCACTAATCACACGAAGAAAAAATAACAGACAGTTGTCATTCCTGCTTAATAGTTTACACACCAGAAAGTCTAGAGCTACACACCTGAACCTAAAACACACAATTATCTCAGCAGCAGTGGCTTAAACTCATGTCATTTAATTTTAATCCACTAGATGTCGCCAGAATACTCCAACCTGCTGCTGTGTGTGTGTGTGAGAGAGTTGGATGGTTTTATATTACTGGCTTAGAGTGACGTCACACACACCAACTGACGTCACACACACCAACTCACGTCACACACACCCACTGACGTCACACACACCAACTGACGTCACACACACCAACTGACGTCACACACACCAACTGACGTCGCACACACCAACTGACGTCGCACACACCAACTGACGTCACACACACCAACTGACGTCACACACACCAACTGACGTCACACACACCAACTCACGTCACACACACCAACTCACGTCACACACACCCACTGACGTCACACACACACCAACTGACGTCACACACACCAACTCACGTCACACACACCCACTGACGTCACACACACACCAACTGACGTCACACACACACCAACTGACGTCACACACACCAACTGACGTCACACACACACCAACTGACGTCACACACACACCAACTGACGTCACACACACCAACTGACGTCACACACACCAACTGACGTCACACACACCAACTGACGTCGCACACACCAACTGACGTCGCACACACCAACTGACGTCACACACACCAACTGACGTCACACACACCAACTGACGTCACACACACAAACTGACTTCACACACACCAACTGACGTCGCACACACACAACTGACGTCGCACACACCAACTGACGTCGCACACACCAACTGACGTCGCACACACCAACTGACGTCGCACACACCAACTGACGTCGCACACACCAACTGACGTCGCACACACCAACTGACGTCACACACACCAACTGACGTCGCACAAACCAACTGACGTCGCACACACCAACTGACGTCACACACACACCAACTGACGTCACACGCACCAACTGACGTCACACGCACCAACTGACGTCACACGCACCAACTGACGTCGCACACACCAACTGACGTCGCACACACCAACTGACGTCGCACACACCAACTGACGTCGCACACACCAACTGACGTCGCACACACCAACTGACGTCGCACACACCAACTGACGTCGCACACACCAACTGACGTCGCACACACCAACTGACGTCGCACACACCAACTGACGTCGCACACACCAACTGACGTCACACACACCAACTTACGTCGCACACACACCAACTGACGTCGCACAAACCAACTGACGTCGCACACACCAACTGACGTCGCACACACCAACTGACGTCGCACACACCAACTGACGTCACACACACCAACTGACGTCACACACACCAACTGACGTCGCACAAACCAACTGACGTCACACACACCAACTGACGTCACACACACAAACTGACTTCACACACACCAACTGACGTCGCACACACCAACTGACGTCGCACACACCAACTGACGTCGCACACACCAACTGACGTCGCACACACCAACTGACGTCACACACACCAACTGACGTCACACACACCAACTGACGTCACACACACCAACTTACGTCGCACACACACCAACTGACGTCGCACAAACCAACTGACGTCGCACACACCAACTGACGTCGCACACACCAACTGACGTCGCACACACCAACTGACGTCACACACACCAACTGACGTCACACACACCAACTGACGTCGCACAAACCAACTGACGTCACACACACCAACTGACGTCACACACACCAACTGACGTCACACACACCAACTGACGTCACACACACCAACTGACGTCACACACACAAACTGACTTCACACACACCAACTGACGTCGCACACACCAACTGACGTCGCACACACCAACTGACGTCACACACACAAACTGACTTCACACACACCAACTGACGTCACACACACCAACTGACGTCACACACACCAACTGACGTCACACACACCAACTGACGTCGCACACACCAACTGACGTCGCACACACCAACTGACGTCGCACACACCAACTGACGTCGCACACACCAACTGACGTCGCACACACCAACTGACGTCACACACACCAACTGACGTCGCACAAACCAACTGACGTCACACACACCAACTGACGTCACACACACCAACTGACGTCACACACACCAACTGACGTCACACACACCAACTGACGTCGCACACACCAACTGACGTCGCACACACCAACTGACGTCACACACACACATACTGACGTCACACACACCAACTGACGTCACACGCACCAACTGACGTCGCACACACCAACTGACATCGCACACACCAACTGACGTCGCACACACCAACTGACGTCGCACACACCAACTGACGTCGCACACACCAACTGACGTCGCACACACCAACTGACGTCGCACACACCAACTGACGTCGCACACACCAACTGACGTCGCACACACCAACTGACGTCGCACACACACCAACTGACGTCGCACACACCAACTGACGTCGCACACACCAACTGACGTCACACACACCAACTTACGTCGCACACACACCAACTGACGTCGCACAAACCAACTGACGTCGCACACACCAACTGACGTCACACACACCAACTGACGTCACACACACCAACTGACGTCACACACACCAACTGACGTCACACACACCAACTGACGTCACACACACCAACTTACGTCGCACACACCAACTGACGTCACACACACCAACTGAACAGGACCAAATTCAAATGTAGTACCACTGAAAAGGTTGAGAGGGCGCCACACAGACGTTTTAGGCTAAAAAGTGAGATTTTATCTAATTTTCACTAAAATGTCAAAAAATGACCAGGATAAATAAACATATTTATGCAGTTCATGAGTTAAAAAAAAGTTGATTTGGTGTTTAGTCGCTCTTTAAATAAAATACGGTACACTGTGTTGGGTGTTTGTTCTGCTCTACAATAATTTGAATATGTTTGAATAATTAAGTTAGTTTAGTTTAGTTAGTTGATGTATTTAAGACGACAGGGACAGTGTGTTATAAACATTCACCTCAAAGGGAGAGATGCAGTGTACCAGGTTATAGCTCAGAGATCATTTCCTCCTGTAGTCCCCGTTCAGGCTCATGTCATGATATTACATTAAAACAACACACATTCACGGATGTACGGTTTACATTTGGTCAAAATACAAGTCTTCACGTGCACAATTTGTTAAAACCTCACATTTATATTGCTAATTTATACTGGTCAAACACTCACACGCTACACACGAGTGCAAGTTCAGTTTGATATTAAACATTTGCAAATAACCAATAATAACTTTTTTTGGCCCTCTAATGTGTTTGACTTTGACATCCATGAATTAGAGGTTCTTCATTGACTCTGACCTGCATAAACACATTCCAGTGTCAGAGACAAGTCAGAAACTGTTTCCTCCAAACCGAGCAGCACCGGTCTCTAATCCTGACCCTGGGGAAGGTGTCGGCTCCTGCACACGTCAGCTTCCACATCACCCCAGTCCTTCATTCTCTACAGTGGCTCCAGTTTCGTCTCAAGTTGATTTTAAAATGTTACTCTTTGATTTAAACCCCTTAGTGGTCTCGCCCTCTGTGGTCTCGCCCTCAGTGGTCTCGCCCTCAGTGGTCTCGCCCTCAGTGGTCTCGCCCTCAGTGGTCTCGCCCTCAGTGGTCTCGCCCTCAGTGGTCTCGCCCTCAGTGGTCTCGCCCTCAGTGGTCTCGCCCTCAGTGGTCTCGCCCTCAGTGGTCTCGCCCTCAGTGGTCTCGCCCTCTGTGGTCTCGCCCTCAGTGGTCTCGCCCTCTGTGGTCTCGCCCTCTGTGGTCTCGCCCTCTGTGGTCTCGCCCTCTGTGGTCTCGCCCTCTGTGGTCTCGCCCTCAGTGGTCTCGCCCTCAGTGGTCTCGCCCTCAGTGGTCTCGCCCTCAGTGGTCTCGCCCTCAGTGGTCTCGCCCTCTGTGGTCTCGCCCTCTGTGGTCTCGCCCTCTGTGGTCTCGCCCTCTGTGGTCTCGCCCTCTGTGGTCTCGCCCTCTGTGGTCTCGCCCTCTGTACTTGTCTGAACTTTTGTCTGTTCGTGACTCGGGCAGATCATTGAGGTCCTCATTCCAACTCCTCCTGGAAGTACCTAGGACCAGGTTTAATACTGGGGACTGGGGAGACCGGTCCTTCTCAGTCCTGGACCCAGACTCTGGAACAAGCCGCCTCCTGACACACCTGTCCTCACTGAGTTTGGCCTTTTTAAATCGTGGCTCAAAACTTATTTATTCAGACTGGCTTTAACACATCATTCATTAGCCCGGTGACTTTTTGAACTGTTTTAACCGTTTTGTTTTAATGGATTTTATGTAATTTTATTGTGAAGCTTTGGTCGCCTTGAGTGTTGTAAAGGGCTCTATAAATAACATTGATGAGACGTTTCTCAGACTGACCTGTTCTTTGGCGCAGAACCCACAGATCATTCTCGTCGCCAGCTCCATGGGATGGTCCTGGTCCGCATCGTGGCAGAGGTCACACGGGTACACTCTGCCACAGCAGGGGAACCTGGCACACAGAGGTCCTCAGTCTGAGAGAGGTCCTCAGTCTGAGAGAGAGGTCCTCAGTCTGACACAGAGGTCCTCAGTCTGAGAGAGGTCCTCAGTCTGAGAGAGGTCCTCAGTCTGACAGAGAGGTCCTCAGTCTGAGAGAGGTCCTCAGTCTGACACAGAGGTCCTCAGTCTGAGAGAGGTCCTCAGTCTGAGAGAGAGGTCCTCAGTCTGAGAGAGGTCCTCAGTCTGACAGAGAGGTCCTCAGTCTGAGAGAGAGGTCCTCAGTCTGACACAGAGGTCCTCAGTCTGAGAGAGGTCCTCAGTCTGACACAGAGGTCCTCACTCTGACAGAGAGGTCCTCAGTCTGACAGAGAGGTCCTCAGTCTGACACAGAAGTCCTCAGTCTGACAAAGAGGTCCTCAGTCTGACAGAGAGGTCCTCAGTCTGAGAGAAAGTTCCTCAGTCTGACAGAGAGGTCCTCACTCTGACACAGAGGTCCTCACTCTGACACAGAGGTCCTCACTCTGACACAGAGGTCCTCACTCTGACACAGAGGTCCTCACTCTGACACAGAGGTCCTCACTCTGACACAGAGGTCCTCACTCTGACAGAGAGGTCCTCAGTCTGACAGAGAGGTCCTCAGTCTGACACAGAGGTCCTCAGTCTGACAAAGAGGTCCTCAGTCTGACACAGAGGTCCTCAGTCTGACACAGAGGTCCTCGGCCTGACACAGAGGTCCTCGGCCTGACACAGAGGTCCTCGGCCTGACACAGAGGTCCTCACTCTGACACAGAGGTCCTCAGTCTAACAGAGAGGTCCTCGGCCTGACACAGAGGTCCTCGGCCTGACACAGAGGTCCTCAGTCTAACAGAGAGGTCCTCAGTCTGACACAGAGGTCCTCGGCCTGACACAGACTGTCAACAATCCTAAGAGCTTTAAACAAAGCTCTTAGGATTGTTAATGACTCTTCTGGCCACCCTGGGAAAGCCATGTTCCAGCTTCTTCCCTCTGGCAGAAGATATCGCTCTCTGAGATGCAGGACATCTCGTTACGCTAACAGTTTTTATCCACAGGCTGTTATCAGTGTGAACAGAGCACTTTAATGATTTGCACTTGTTTTGAAACTGTTTTAGTCGATCAATTTCACAGTGACATTTGTTTACTGTTTTATTTCTGTCTTTTAATGTTGTTTTATGTCTGTATTTGTCTGTGCACACTGGAAACTTTTGCTAATGTATTCCATTGTGGTTTTACTGCAAATGGCAAATAAACTGAATCTGAATCTGAGGTCCTCGGCCTGACACAGAGGTCCTCAGTCTGTCATGAGGCCTGTAGGAGGACATGAGGCCCGTGGGAGGCCCTGAGGTCTGTGGGAGGTCCTGAGGTCTGTGGGAGGTCCTGAGGTCTGTGGGAGGTCCTGAGGTCTGTGGGAGGCCCTGAGGTCTGTGGGAGGCCCTGAGGTCTGTGGGAGGTCCTGAGGTCTGTGGGAGGTCCTGAGGCCCGTGGGAGGCCCTGAGGTCTGTGGGAGGTCCTGAGGTCTGAGGGAGGCCCTGAGGTCTGTGGGAGGTCCTGAGGTCTGTGGGAGGTCCTGAGGTCTGTGGGAGGTCCTGAGGCCCGTGGGAGGCCCTGAGGTCTGTGGGAGGTCCTGAGGTATGTGGGAGGTCCTGAGGTCTGTGGGAGGTCCTGAGGTCTGTGGGAGGTCCTGAGGTCTGTGGGAGGTCCTGAGGCCTGTAGGAGGACATGAGGCCCGTGGGAGGTCCTGAGGTCTGTGGGAGGTCCTGAGGTCTGTGGGAGGTCCTGAGGTCTGTGGGAGGTCCTGAGGCCCGTGGGAGGTCCTGAGGCCTGTAGGAGGACATGAGGCCCGTGGGAGGTCCTGAGGTCTGTGGGAGGTCCTGAGGTCTGTGGGAGGTCCTGAGGTCTGTGGGAGGTCCTGAGGTCTGTGGGAGGTCCTGAGGTACCTGAGCCAGCGGTGACTCTGTCTGTAGTGTTTGCAAATGCCTTTGTCCGGCAGCGGCTTCCCTTTCACCACAGCAGGGTCACGTATGTTCTTCAGATGCACAGTGTTGGTGCTGGGACCTGCAGACAGACAGACAGACAGAGGAACAGACAGAGGGACAGACAGACAGACAGACAGAGGGACGGACAGACAGACAGAGGGACAGACAGACAGACAGACAGACAGACAGACAGAGGGACAGACAGACAGACAGACAGAGGGACAGACAGACAGAGGAACAGACATACAGAGGGACAGACAGACAGAGGAACAGACAGACAGAGGGACAGACAGACAGACAGACAGAGGGACAGACAGACAGAGGGACAGACAGACAGAGGGACAGACAGACAGACAGACAGAGGGACAGACAGACAGAGGGACAGACAGACAGACAGACAGACAGAGGGACAGACCGACAGAGGGACAGACAGAGGGACAGACAGACAGACAGACAAAGGGACAGACAGACAGACAAAGGGACAGACAGACAGAGGGACAGACAGACAGACAGAGGGACAGACAGAGGGACAGACAGACAGAGGGACAGACAGAGGGACAGACAGACAGAGGGACAGACAGAGGGACAGACAGACAGACAGACAGACAGAGGGACAGACAGACAGAGGGACAGACAGACAGACAGAGGGACAGACAGACAGACAGACAGAGGGACAGACAGACAGAGGGACAGACAGACAGACAGACAGACAGAGGGACAGACAGACAGACAGACAGACAGAGGGACAGACAGACAGAGGGACAGACAGACAGACAGACAGACAGAGGGACAGACAGACAGACAGAGGGACAGACAGACAGACAGACAGAGGGACAGACAGACAGAGGGACAGACAGACAGACAGACAGACAGAGGGACAGACAGAGGGACAGACAGACAGAGGGACAGACATAGGGACAGACAGACGGACAGACAGACAGAGGGACAGACAGACAGACAGACAGAGGGACAGACAAACAGACAGACAGAGGGACAGACAGACAGAGGGACAGACAGACAGATTGAGGCTGTGATACTCAGATCGAAGCCTTCAGATGACTCTCAGACTCACCCGTGTTGGTGCGAGCCTGAATCAGCAGAAATCTTGCACTTTCGACCATAATGCTGAGCTTCTCGTGGCAGTGCTCACAGTTGAACTCCTTCGTCAGACCATAAGAGAGATTCTGAGGAGGACATATTATGTAGGATTTGAACAAGGCCTGCAACAAGTAGTAAACTATGAACGGTAGTACTGCATTTTGACTTTATGTATTTGTATATTGATCTGTAAACGTATACCTCACGTTCAAACACGTAATAAGTGATTTTATTCTAACTTAACAACTGTAGTTTTGTCACATACATGTTTTAGGCTCCGTCACATCTTGACACATGACTCTTTCAGACTGAAGTATACAAATGTTTTCTTAACTTTTGTGTTATCCTCGGGTCAAATTAACCCACAATGATTTAAAATATATCCTGGGTCTACTTTTTTCTCACTGTGGCGGTTCATTCAGACCCGAGGGTAGCATAAGGGTTAAAATAAGTTAGGTACCCCTTACTACCTGGACTACACAGACTCGTAAGCACATGCACTGCAAAAAGTGAGATGATAGATGCTTAAATCAAGTGGTTTTTGACCATCCTAAAACAAGATTTGCCAATGAAGCAAAGCCATTTAGTTTTATTTCAATAACTGTTCTCATTCCAAGGGAGACATTTCACTTCGGTCCAAGGACAAATCTTGTTTTAAGGCCATCAAAATGTGCTCAAATTAAGATTTTGCCATTTAAACCAATTCTTGACTTATTTTTCATCACTTTTTGCTGTGTGCCAAAGACATTTATAACAAGAATAAGATGCATGTGTTACATCAAAAGCAGTCGTCATTATGATAATCGCTGGAATAAGCAGCAGGAGTTGGAGTGAGCGCAGGGGTCTGACCTCCACAGCAGTGTCCTGGGAGCAGCTCAGACAGCCCACAGAGAAGAGGCAGCGGTTGAGCAGCAGGTCCAGGGCCGTGGTGTTGTGCAGCTGCAGGTATCCCAGCACGGTGCTGTACGGGTGCAGGATGGCGGCCGTGAAGGCTGCTCTGATGTCTGAGCTGCACTTCTCACACTGAGCTGAACACTGGGCGCCACGGGACAAGCTCAGCTCCGCACTCACTTTACACCTGCACACAGATCGCACGGCCACAACTTCAATTAAAACTTCTTAGTAAGAAAGCCACTTTAGTTACAACTATGTAGGACATTTAACGACAGCTATGGAAATCTATTAACATTTATGGACATTGGTCTCTGCCCCTTGTGGACCAATGACTGTGTTTTTTTCAACCCGGGCTGTAAAACTGCTTTGACTGGATTGTTCTGGGCGTTCACACGGTCACACCTCAGCAATAGTACGTTAGCACCATATATAGAATTATGTGACATAATAAAAAAAGGCAGTAAATACAAATTGAGAAACAAAATGGATTCCAAAGGTTTTGAGCTTCTCAATGAGATACAGCGTGTGACTATGTTGGTGGAGCTGAAGTTGGCTGGATGACACTGACAAAGTGCCTCAATGGCTCCTCTGTGTTAGTAAAGCAGTGGGCCACATAAAATGGCTCATGGGCCTTAGTTTGGACATCCCTGTCTTACTATAGAACTATAAGCACTTTCAGTCTTTAGTCATTCGTTCATTTTAGTCGGCCTTAGATCTGACCAAAACATTTAATGGTTTAATTTTCCATCAAATTAAATTACAAGACTTTACAAGCTGGTGACTTGACTCCTACGTCTTTTCTTTTACATATTTACTATGTTAAACTTTGTACTTTGACATTCAAGCCAGATCAAACATCATACATTTCTAAAAAACAGAGACAGAGACAGAGACAGAGGCAGAGGCAGAGGCAGAGGCAGAGACAGAGACAGAGGCAGAGGCAGAGGCAGAGGCAGAGGCAGAGACAGAGACAGAGACAGAGACAGAAGCAGAGGCAGAGGCAGAGACAGAGGCAGAGACAGAGACAGAGGCAGAGGCAGAGGCAGAGGCAGAGACAGAGGCTGAGACAGAGACAGAGGCAGAGGCAGAGGCAGAGACAGAGACAGACGCAGAGACAGAGGCAGAGACAGAGGCAGAGACAGAGGCAGAGCCTGAGGCAGAGACAGAGACAGAGGCAGAGACAGAGGCAGAGGCAGAGGCAGAGACAGAGGCAGAGGCAGAGGCAGAGGCAGAGGCAGAGGCAGAGAGAGAGGCAGAGACAGAGGCAGAGGCAGAGACACAGGCAGAGACAGAGACAGAGGCAGAGACAGAGGCAGAGACAGAGGCAGAGACAGAGACAGAGGCAGAGGCAGAGGCAGAGGCAGAGGCAGAGGCAGAGGCAGAGACAGAGGCAGAGACAGAGACAGAGGCAGAGGCAGAGGCAGAGGCAGAGGCAGAGGCAGAGGCAGAGGCAGAGACAGAGGCAGAGGCTGAGACAGAGACAGAGGCAGAGGCAGAGGCAGAGGCAGAGACAGAGGCTGAGACAGAGACAGAGGCAGAGGCAGAGACAGAGACAGACGCAGAGACAGAGGCAGAGACAGAGGCAGAGACAGAGGCAGAGCCTGAGGCAGAGACAGAGACAGAGGCAGAGACAGAGGCAGAGGCAGAGGCAGAGGCAGAGGCAGAGACAGAGACAGAGGCAGAGACAGAGACAGAGACAGAGGCAGAGAGACAGAGACAGAGGCAGAGGCAGAGACAGAGGCAGAGAGACAGAGACAGAGACAGAGGCAGAGGCAGAGGCAGAGACAGAGACAGAGGCAGAGGCAGAGGTAGAGGCAGAGACAGAGGCAGAGGCAGAGGCAGAGGCAGAGACAGAGACAGAGACAGAGACAGAGACAGAGACAGAGGCAGAGACAGAGACAGAGGCAGAGGCAGAGGCAGAGACAGAGGCAGAGGCAGAGGCAGAGGCAGAGGCAGAGGCAGAGGCAGAGGCAGAGACAGAGGCAGAGGCAGAGGCAGAGGCAGAGACAGAGGCAGAGACAGAGGCAGAGGCAGAGGCTGAGACAGAGACAGAGGCAGAGGCAGAGGCAGAGACAGAGGCTGAGACAGAGACAGAGGCAGAGGCAGAGGCAGAGACAGAGACAGACGCAGAGACAGAGGCAGAGACAGAGGCAGAGACAGAGGCAGAGCCAGAGGCAGAGACAGAGACAGAGGCAGAGACAGAGAGGCAGAGGCAGAGGCAGAGGCAGAGGCAGAGACAGAGACAGAGGCAGAGACAGAGACAGAGACAGAGGCAGAGAGACAGAGACAGAGGCAGAGGCAGAGGCAGAGACAGAGGCAGAGAGACAGAGACAGAGACAGAGGCAGAGGCAGAGGCAGAGACAGAGACAGAGGCAGAGGCAGAGGTAGAGGCAGAGGCAGAGACAGAGGCAGAGGCAGAGGCAGAGGCAGAGACAGAGACAGAGGCAGAGACAGAGACAGAGGCAGAGGCAGAGACAGAGACAGAGACAGAGGCAGAGGCAGAGGCAGAGGCAGAGGCAGAGACAGAGGCAGAGACAGAGACAGAGGCAGAGGCAGAGGCAGAGGCAGAGGCAGAGGCAGAGGCAGAGGCAGAGGCAGAGGCAGAGACAGAGGCAGAGGCAGAGGCAGAGGCAGAGGCAGAGGCAGAGGCAGAGGCAGAGACAGAGGCAGAGGCAGAGGCAGAGGCAGAGGCAGAGGCAGAGGCAGAGGCAGAGACAGAGGCAGAGGCAGAGGCAGAGGCAGAGGCAGAGACAGAGGCAGAGGCAGAGGCAGAGGCAGAGACAGAGACAGAGACAGAGACAGAGGCAGAGACAGAGACAGAGACAGAGACAGAGACAGAGACAGAGACAGAGAGAGAATCAGGGTTTGTGTTTTCGTGCCTGTTACAGCGAAGGCAGACTGTGATCTTTTGTGTCATGACGGTGACGGTGTTGTGTCCGAGCCTCAGACCGAGCAGCTGGATCTCCGTTCCTTTGGGGCGGTCCTGGAGGCGGATGTTCTCCACCAAATGGACGCCATCTTCATCCTCCTCATCCTCCTCACCCTCCTCCTCCTCCTCCTCCTCTGGGTGTTGAGACTCCGCCTCCTCGCCTTGTTCCGCCTGCTCCTCTGTTCTCCCCGACTCTTCTTCCTCGGCCTGTTTCTCGCTCACAGCCGCCTGAAGTTCTTTATACGATATAAACTGGAGTCCAGCCTTTTCCAAATCCATGTCCCTCTTCAGCTGCAGAAAAAAAAAAAAAAAACATCAGAAGAGAAAAAATAAAATAAAAAAAAGAGTCATTTTTCTGTGGAATTATTTACCGCAAGAGCAGGGATTGTAAACCATTCCATTTGTGACCCCAAAGTAACTGAAATCTACTATTGCCATTTCAGAATTTAGTAAGTCATTAATATTTTTTTACATAGCGCATTTTTACGGTCCAAGGTCACCCAGAGCGCGTTACAATGTTCCATTCTCTCCACACAGTGATGAAGAAGCGAGACTCGAACACACTGGACCCTCAAAGCCTCCGACCAAACACCCTCCATTCACTCACTCATCACATCCTATTGTTTTCAGAGGGAGGGGAAACTGGAGCACCCGGAGGAAACCTACGCAGACACGGGGAGAACATACAAACTCCACCCTGTTCCTACTGGGATTCAAACCCAGGACATTTTTTTACGTTTTGCCCATATTTTAAATCAAAGTGGCGATAAGTAAAAGTGTTGTTATCACTAAAATACAGATTTTTGTATCGATGAAGTTACTGAAACAAGTGTGACAGCGTATAATTGTTTATCTTTAAGCTCCATGTAGGACGGCGAGATGTGAAATAGACCTGTTTAGCTCCTTCTATGAAGAGCCGCTCCAGGCTGCGGTCCAACCATCGCAGAAACGGACGAAACAGGAGCTCGACTTTCCCCAGGAGTTGATTGGTGGCGTGTTTAGCTCGTAGCCACTGCACCGAGGCTTCCTGAACGTGCCTCCGTGAGAACAGGGAACACAAATAGGATCAGACCGGAAATAGACACAATCCTCAATCAAGACAATTCGGACAAGTAATACCTCGCCATGACCTGTGGCAGCTGCTGATCCAGAGGAATCTCTAAAGTAAAAATCTGTCAAAGTGTGTTAGTTGAAATGTTTTTAGTTTATCATAGACTCTTTGCTTATAACAACTGTCTTTACCTCCTCAGGATAGTTGTCCGGAAAGCTCACCATGACGTCAACTTCCTTCAGATCAAAAGGCTGCGAAAATATTTGTTTAAAAGAAGATATATTTAGTGTGTTTTACTTTTGCCATAACCCTGAAGAACATTACAGTGATACATTACCCAGTCTGGGTCTGAGGCCACGACAGCAGCTCTGTAATAAGCCTTGTCCTGTTGCTCCTGAACGATCAGATCTTTGGGGAAGCGTTTCTTCAGCTGCTGGATCTCTGTCAGTCTCAACTTCTGGACCATTTCCTCTGTTAACTCGCTCAGTTTCAGATCCCTGCTGAAATCAGGACCTCGAGGTGGAGGTCCGCGGGGTTGAAGGTTTCGAGGCTGAAGGTCTCGAGGCTGAGGGTCTCGAGGCTGAGGGTTTCGAGGCTGAGGGTTTTGATGCTGAGGGTCTCGAGGCTGAGGGTTTTGATGCTGAGGGTTTCGAGGCTGAGGGTCTCGAGAATGAGGGTCTCGAGGTTGGGGGTTATGGGCCAGAGTATCGTCTATCGGAGGTGTGACAGCAGGGTGCAGAAAGCGGCAGCGGTCCTCCATGCTGCAGTGACCAGAAAGGAAGTAGCGACATGGCCTTGGGGCGGGAGCAGCTCGAGTCCTGGTGTGTTTATGGTCTGCTGGTTGTGAAGTCCTGGTGTGTTTATGGTCTGCTGGTTGTGAAGTCCTGGTGTGTTTATGGTCTGCTGGTTGTGAAGCACTGATGTCTGGCAGAGCGGCAGCAGAGACTGGAGCCTGGTGTAAGAACCTGCATTTGTTCCCAAAGCGGCAGTGTTTTCCCTGAGCATGGAAGCGGCACAATGGTGGAGTCTGGGAGGACGAGCCATTCTTCTCATTCTGTACATCAGCCATCATGGTTCCTCCTGAGGCGTCACATCATTGATTTCAAAAGAACATTAACAACATGACATGTAAAAGTATCATTGAATCCTCTTAGAATCTAATGTCATATAATATCATTAATCTCTGGTTTGTTTAAAAGTGTGTCCTTCTCTAGTCTATGGTCCTACTGTCATATGGTCCTACTGCCATATGGTTCTACTGTCATATGGTCCTACTCTCATATGGTTCTACTCTCATATGGTCCCACTGTCATATGGTTCTACTGTCATATGGTCCTACTTTCATATGGTCCTACTTTCATATGGTCCTACTGCCATATGGTTCTACTGTCATATGGTCCTACTCTCATATGGTTCTACTCTCATATGGTCCCACTGTCATATGGTCCTACTTTCATATGGTCCTACTTTCATATGGTCCTACTGTCATATGGTCCTACTGTCATATGGTCCTACTGTCATATGGTTCTACTGTCATATGGTTCTACTGTCATATGGTTCTACTGTCATATGGTCCTACTGTCATATGGTCCTACTGTCATATGGTCCTACTGTCATATGGTCCTACTGTCATATGGTCCTACTGTCATATGGTTCTACTGTCATATGGTCCTACTGTCATATGGTCCTACTGTCATATGGTCCTACTGTCATATGGTCCTACTGTCATATGGTTCTACTGTCATATGGTCCTACTGTCATATGGTCCTACTGTCATATGGTCCTACTGTCATATGGTTCTACTGTCATATGGTTCTACTGTCATATGGTCCTACTGTCATATGGTTCTACTGTCATATGGTCCTACTGTCATATGGTCCTACTGTCATATGGTTCTACTGTCATATGGTTCTACTGTCATATGGTCCTACTGTCATATGGTTCTACTGTCATATGGTCCTACTGTCATATGGTCCTACTGTCATATGGTTCTACTGTCATATGGTCCTACTGTCATATGGTTCTACTGTCATATGGTCCTACTGTCATATGGTCCTACTGTCATATGTTCTACTGTCATATGGTCCTGTCATATGGTCCTACTGTCATATGGTCCTACTGTCATATGGTTCTACTGTCATATGGTTCTACTGTCATATGGTCCTACTGTCATATGGTCCTACTGTCATATGGTTCTACTGTCATATGGTTCTACTGTCATATGGTCCTACTGTCATATGGTTCTACTGTCATATGGTTCTACTGTCATATGGTCCTGTCATATGGTCCTACTGTCATATGGTTCTACTGTCATATGGTCCTACTTTCATATGGTCCTACTGTCATATGGTTCTACTGTCATATGGTCCTACATGGTCCTACTGTCATATGGTCCTACTGTCATATAGTTCTACTGTCATATGGTCCTACTGTCATATGGTTCTACTGTCATATGGTCCTACTGTCATATGGTCCTACTGTCATATGGTTCTACTGTCATATGGTTCTACTGTCATATGGTTCTACTGTCATATGGTCCTACTGTCATATGGTCCTACTGTCATATGGTCCTACTGTCATATGGTCCTACTGTCATATGGTTCTACTGTCATATGGTCCTACTTTCATATGGTTCTACTGTCATATGGTCCTACTGTCATATGGTCCTACTGTCATATGGTCCTACTGTCATATGGTTCTACTGTCATATGGTTCTACTGTCATATGGTCCTGTCATATGGTCCTACTGTCATATGGTCCTACTGTCATATGGTCCTACTGTCATATGGTCCTACTGTCATATGGTTCTACTGTCATATGGTCCTACTTTCATATGGTTCTACTTTCATATGGTCCTACTGTCATATGGTCCTACTGTCATATGGTCCTACTGTCATATGGTCCTACTTTCATATGGTTCTACTGTCATATGGTTCTACTGTCATATGGTCCTACTGTCATATGGTCCTGTCAAATGGTCCTACTGTTATATGGTCCTACTGTCATATGGTCCTACTGTCATATGGTCCTGTCAAATGGTCCTACTGCCATATGTTCTACTGTCATATGGTCCTACTGTTATATGGTCCTACTTTCATATGGTCCTACTGTTATATGGTTCTACTGTCATATGGTCCTACTGTCATATGGTCCTACTGTCATATGGTTCTACTGTCATATGGTTCTACTGTCATATGGTTCTACTGTCATATGGTCCTACTGTCATATGGTTCTACTGTCATATGGTTCTACTGTCATATGGTCCTACTGTCATATGGTCCTACTGTCATATGGTCCTACTGTCATATGGTCCTACTGTCATATGGTTCTACTGTCATATGGTTCTACTGTCATATGGTTCTACTGTCATATGGTCCTACTTTCATATGGTCCTACTGTCATATGGTCCTACTGTCATATGGTCCTGTCATATGGTCCTACTGTCATATGGTCCTGTCGTCATATGGTCCTGTCATATGGTTCTACTGTCATATGGTCCTACTTTCATATGGTCCTACTGTCATATGGTCCTACTGTCATATGGTCCTGTCGTCATATGGTCCTGTCATATGGTCCTACTTTCATATGGTCCTACTGTCATATGGTCCTACTGTCATATGGTCCTACTGTCATATGGTCCTGTCGTCATATGGTCCTGTCATATGGTCCTACTGTCATATGGTCCTACTGTCATATGGTCCTACTGTCATATGGTCCTACTGTCATATGGTCCTACTGCCATATGGTCCTACTGTCATATGGTCCTACTGTCATATGGTCCTACTTTCATATGGTCCTACTGTCATATGGTCCTACTGTCATATGGTCCTACTGCCATATGGTCCTACTGCCATATGGTCCTACTGTCATATGGTCCTACTGTCATATGGTCCTACTGTCATATGGTCCTACTTTCATATGGTCCTACTGTCATATGGTCCTACTGCCATATGGTCCTACTGTCATATGGTCCTACTGTCATATGGTTCTACTGTCATATGGTTCTACTGTCATATGGTTCTACTGTCATATGGTCCTACTTTCATATGGTCCTACTGTCATATGGTCCTGTCGTCATATGGTCCTGTCATATGGTTCTACTGTCATATGGTTCTACTGTCATATGGTCCTACTTTCATATGGTCCTACTGTCATATGGTCCTGTCGTCATATGGTCCTGTCATATGGTTCTACTGTCATATGGTTCTACTGTCATATGGTCCTACTTTCATATGGTCCTACTGTCATATGGTCCTACTGTCATATGGTCCTGTCATATGGTCCTACTGTCATATGGTCCTACTGTCATATGGTCCTGTCGTCATATGGTCCTGTCATATGGTCCTACTGTCATATGGTCCTACTATCATATGGTCCTACTGTCATATGGTCCTACTGTCATATGGTCCTGTCATATGGTCCTACTGTCATATGGTCCTGTCATATGGTCCTACTATCATATGGTCCTACTGTCATATGGTCCTACTGTCATATGGTCCTGTCATATGGCCCTACTGTCATATGGTCCTACTGTCATATGGTCCTACTGTCATATGGTCCTACTGTCATATGGTCCTACTGTCATATGGTCCTGTCATATGGTCCTACTGTCATATGGTCCTACTGTCATATGGTCCTACTGTCATATGGTCCTACTGTCATATGGTCCTGTCATATGGTCCTACTGTCATATGGTCCTACTGTCATATGGTCCTACTGTCATATGGTCCTACTGCCATATGGTCCTACTGTCATATGGTCCTACTGTCATATGGTCCTACTGTCATATGGTCCTACTGCCATATGGTCCTACTGTCATATGGTCCTACTGTCATATGGTCCTACTGCCATATGGTCCTACTGTCATATGGTCCTACTGTCATATGGTCCTACTGTCATATGGTCCTACTGTCATATGGTCCTACTGTCATATGGTCCTACTGTCATATGGTCCTACTGTCATATGGTCCTACTGTCATATGGTCCTACTGTCATATGGTCCTACTGTCATATGGTCCTACTGTCATATGGTCCTACTGTCATATGGTCCTACTGTCATATGGTCCTACTGTCATATGGTCCTACTGTCATATGGTCCTACTGTCATATGGTCCTACTGTCATATGGTCCTACTGTCATATGGTCCTACTGTCATATGGTCCTACTGTCATATGGTCCTACTGTCATATGGTCCTACTGTCATATGGTCCTACTGTCATATGGTCCTACTGTCATATGGTCCTACTGTCATATGGTCCTACTGTCATATGGTCCTACTGTCATATGGTCCTACTGTCATATGGTCCTACTGTCATATGGTCCTACTGTCATATGGTCCTACTGTCATATGGTCCTACTGTCATATGGTCCTACTGTCATATGGTCCTACTGTCATATGGTCCTACTGTCATATGGTCCTACTGTCATATGGTCCTACTGTCATATGGTCCTACTGTCATATGGTCTGTCATACTGTCATATGGTCCTACTGTCATATGGTCCTACTGTCATATGGTCCTACTGTCATATGGTCCTACTGTCATATGGTCCTACTGTCATATGGTCCTACTGTCATATGGTCCTACTGTCATATGGTCCTACTGTCATATGGTCCTACTGTCATATGGTCCTACTGTCATATGGTCCTACTGTCATATGGTCCTACTGTCATATGGTCCTACTGTCATATGGTCCTACTGTCATATGGTCCTACTGTCATATGGTCCTACTGTCATATGGTCCTACTGTCATATGGTCCTA